ACATCTTTGTTGGTATGTGGTGCTGAGGATCGAACCCGGGCCGCACGCATGCCAGGCGAGCGCGCTACCGCTGAGCCACATCCCCAGCCCAAAAAAAAAAAAAAAAAAAAAATCTTTAAACTAAACCTGAATAGCCTCTTCTGAAGATTGAAGACAAAGTTCTGACTGAAAGCCTAAGAAAGAAAAATGTAAATTAATTCAGCAGCAAATCAGAAGGAAGAGAAAAAAAATTGCATTTGTTGCAAAAGCAGCAATGGAAGTGAAGAGGACAGAAGATTCACAACCTTAAGACTCTATATAGACAGGGGCCGGGATTGTGGTTCAGCAGTAGTGCGCTTGCTTAGCATGTACAGGGGCCCTGGGTTCAATCCTCAGTACCACATAAAAAATAAACAAATAAAATAAAGATTTAAAAAAAAAAAAAAGAGACTATGGACAGGGCTAGGGTTGTAGCTCAGTGGTAGGGCGCTTGCCTCTACATGTGAGGCACCGGGTTCAATCCTCAGCACCACATAAATAAATAAAATAAACGTAGTGTCCATCTACAACTAAAAATATATTAAAAAAAAAAAAAAAGAACCTATGGGCAGCAAGGCTGTTTCATTAAAGAAATTTAGGCTAACTCAGCCATTAGGCAGTTCTGTTATCAACTCTAAATATACCTTGCCAACATAGATAAAAATGCAAAAAGACACAAGTTCCAGATATAGGCAAGGAAACCAGAACTATATACTTTGATGCACAAAATGTACAAATAAATTCCCTATAAAGCTAGTGTTTTGCTAGATACTTTTGGGTCTCTGAAGTCACTTGCTTGGTGCTATTGATAAGATGAGTAACTTTGTTATTAAAAAACCTCACTAGGGGGCTGGGGCTGGGGCTGTAACTCAGTGGCAGAGCGCTTGCCTAGCATGTGTGAGGCACAGGTTCAATCCTCAGCCCCACATAAAAAGAAACAAATAAAATAAAGCCTGCCTCTAAAATAGTTCCAAGTGACTTGTCTCTTGGTATTCAAAACTTTCTATAGTCTCCTCTGACAATGTATTAGGGACACTCTATTGTATGATAAAGAATTTAACTGGCTTTGTCCTGGGAACCTTAAATTCTCAGAATTTAAAATCAGTGAGCCAATGGAAAGTAAACTCTATCTAAATAATCAATGGGTGAAAGAAAAAAAATCAGAAGAGAAATTAGAAAATATCTTGAGATAAATGAGAAAAAAAATACTAAAAATTTTCAGAGCTGAGCATATTTACAGACACCTATAATCCCAGCAACTTGGGAGGCTAAGGCAGGAAGATCACAAGGTCAAGACCAGCCTCAGAAACTTATTGAGGCCCTAAGCAACTTAGCAAACCCTGTCTCAAAATACAGAGGGCTGGGGCTCATCGGTAAAGTGCTTCTGGATGCAAGCTCCCATATATAAAAGCAAAAACAAAATTTATGTACATAGTGAAAGTAACACTAAGAGGGAAATATACAGCTATAAACATCAACATTAAAAAAGACCTAGGGCTGGGGAAGTAGCTCAGTGGTAGAGAGCTTGCCTAGCATGGGCAAGGCATGGTTCTGATAGCCAGTACTTTGAAAAAAATAACAATGAAATCTAAGTGAATACATTCTAAAACTTGCATAGTAATATTTATTTTTTAATCAATTCATTTCCTTCCATCTAATTAAACCTATGTTTCTGACAGCAAATGAAAAATTATAGGTTAGGTAACTGATCAAATTTTTCCTTTTTAAATTTTTTATATTGCTTCTGTTAAAATACAAAATATGCACCAGTAGTGGCAGTCTGTAGTCCCAGCTACTAGGGAGGCTGAGGCAGGAGAATCATTTGAGTCCATGAGTTTAGGGCCAGGAGGGCAACATAGCAAGACCCTGTCTTTTTAAAAAACAAGGATACATATATGTAAATAAAGTACTCAGCTATCAATAATTTATAGTCAATTTAATATTCATCTTTTGTTGCTGCTTAAATATTATTTGAAATGATTAGCCTACTGCTACTTACCGGCCACATCCTGAGTTCAGAATTTTGAGATGAATAAAAAGCACCTAAATGTAAGGAAAGTGTTCATCCTGTGTGACAAGAATTCTGAAAAATAAAAATAACATTAAGGTAAGGATATAACCATCACTGGTGCTATATGTACTAGTATAAAAAACTCACTAATACAGGGGCTGGGATTGTGGCTCAGCAGCAGAGCCTAGCATGTGCGAGGTCCTGGGTTCGATCCTCCAGACCGCACTAAATAATGAAGATATTTGTGTCCAACTACAACTAAAAAATAAATATTTAAAAAAATCACTAATACAAACAATTCAGAAGAAACAATTAGCAAAAAGTTACTCTCTACTGCACTGGCACCTACTTTCAAAAGATGTCAAAACTCTTGAAGTGGTAGATTTATGAAACACTTTCCTCTTTTCCTGATGAGACTATCGAACTTTGTTCCTCCCCAGAAAATGTATAATGGTGCATAATATTTCCAGTAGTTGTCATCTTCTTAAAACCTTTGCTTTAGTGTACATACACTCTCCTCTGTAAGAATGTTACATTATTTTCTTCTGGCCAGCTCTTTTTTCCTTCTCTTGGATGAAATGAAAAAACGGACAAAAGCAACAAAAAAGCTATTTTCAGCTCTCCTAAATCCAGGGCCAGCAAAGAGCACATAATCTATAAAAAAAACATTCATTTGTATTAATATTTCCATTTGAACTCGACTCAACTAACCTGTCACAGTTTTAATAAGGCCTTACCAATTCAGAAACCCATTAGCAGAAACGCATGGAATTTAAATGAGATCCAACAGGGGTTATAACACTCCAAATTAGGAACAGAGACCCCACAGAGTTAAAAAGGAAAAGAATACAAATGTCTGACAGTACTGATGCTATGCAACCTGAACACCTTACACAAATTACTTTCTAATAACATTGTCCAAACTATTTCTCTTTGTTTAAAAAAGCTCTGTAAACTCACTCCCTTACTTTTGGATCAGAAATCAACAGTGAATACCACTGTGACCTAGCTTCAGCCGAAATTAAAAGCGTCATACAGCCATTATAAGACTTTCGAGGACAAGGACAAACTGCTTTTTCGGGATCATAAAAGTTTGGGAGGTAGGAGCAGAAGCGTTTGGATATACTACAGGTTCGAGGGGATGTCTGAGATACACAAACGCTAATGAAAATCCAGGGGTAACCTGTTACACGAAATCTCAAGGTCAACGGGCTGGAGAAAAAAATACTCAGGGCCACAAAAGGCCTCAAATGACACTGGAGCCTTAGACAACAGCGTGGGCACCAAGTCTTGAGACGAAAGATGAAAATAAATCAATAAAACAAAGAAATTCTTTAAAAAAAAAAATCGGTGGCCGACAATCGGCTGCCACGAAAGCCCAGTAAGTGTGAAATCCCCTAGGAACAAACCGAAACACAATGGCAGGCAAAGGCAAGGCACAGGGAAGGGCGGGGAGCCGGGAGGAGGCTTGAACAAGTAGACTGAGGGACACACCGGGACGGCGGTGTGGGTTGCCCTGGGGCGGGCAAGGATGGCAATTCCAGCTTGGAAGGGCTCTGTTACCAGCAGGCTCCCGCACACTCGGTGCCCGGACGGCTGGGCAAGACACAGCCTCCTTGTCCCCTCGTAGTCTCCCTTCTCGGCTCACCTCACATGGTCCATCAGACGCAGTCGGCTTCCCGGGGGCCTGCACGCCCCCGGCCCAGAGGCCAAACGGCCGAATGGCCGAGGCGCTCCTCACTCCGCCATCTTCGCTTCTTCTCACGTCTGCCAACCCGGCGACGGGCGGCTCCCACAATCCCCGCCCCCTCCTGAGTATTGATTGGACAACGGCTTGCTTTCTCGCGCGCGCGTTCGTCTTCCGCCACAGGTTGGCTGAAATGCACGTCAATCAATAGCGTTCTTCCCTCATTCGATCTTTTTTTTTTTTTTTGATAGATTAGGTCATTGGATTGAGGTAATTGGGGAAAACGCCTTTGTAATTCATTTTTTAGGAATGTAAAATTATTTCCGCGAAGAAGCAGTGTCACATCTTACTGAGATAATGTGATTAAAGGTGTGACTATTTTAAGTAACTGTTAGGTTAAACTATAGTACTAATGATTTCATTCTCAGATTCGAAGTTTATTAATTCTAGGCGTTAACACAACACTTAGGGAAACAATGGTTCCACTTGGTCTCTGGCTTTGATCCAGTTACACTTTTTTTTTTTTTTTTTTTTGACTAGGGATTGAACCCAGAGGGGCTCAACCACCGAGCCACATTCCCAGCCCCATTTATTTATTTATCTATTTATTTATTTAGAGGCAGGATCTCGTTAAATTGTTTAGGACCTTGCTAAATTGCTGAGGCTGGCCTTGATTTACGATTCCTGCCTCAGCCTCCCGATCAGCGATCCAGTTGCATTCTTAAAAAGCCTAAATGTTGGCAATTGTTCCTAGCTTATATGTTGTCTTTAAATCAGGAACACATGGGGCTGGGGCTGCTGCTCAGTGGCAGATCGCTTGCCAAGCATGTGTGAGGCACTGGGTTTGATCCTTGGCACCGCATAAAAATAAACATAAAATAGGGGCATTCTGTTTACAACTACAAAATAATTTAAAAAACAAAAAAAAATTAAAAAAATAAACGATCAGGAACATAGCAAGGACATGGACTCCCACCGTTTCTATTCAACTTATTCTGTTCAACTTTGTAGTAGAGGGGGTAGCCAGTAGGAATAAATAAAGGTAGAGAAACATAAGACATCCCAATTGGGAGAAATAAAACTGCCTTTATTCAGAGATGGAATGATCCTTTGTAGAAAATAATAAGGAATCCACAAAAACCAAAACTTGTATGTTTGTCATGGTCCCAGCATACAAATCAGTATAAGAAAGCCAATTGTATTTGTGTTTACCAGAGGCTGAGAGAGGAGGATGGTGACTTCAAAGCCAACCTCAGTAAAAGCAAGGTGCTAAGCAACTCTGAGACCCTGTCTCTAAGTAAAATACAAAATAGGGCTGGGGATGCAAACCCAGCGCCTCACACATGCCAGGCAAGTGCACTACCGCTCAGCCCCAGCCCCAGCCCTTACTCCCCATCCTTTTTAAAAATTTTATTTTGAGGCAGGATCTCCATTTCACCAGGCTGGCCTTAAATTTAGGATTCCCCTGCCTCAGCTTCCAGTGAGCTGAGACTAGAGGCCTGTGCTACCACTCCTGGCTCAGGACAGCCACTTTTGGAAAAGAACAAAGTTGGAGGAATTCACTACCTAGTTTCAAAAATGACTACAAAAGCTATAGTAATCAAGATGATTTAGTACTGTCATAAGGATAGGCAAATAAATCAATGGAACAGAACTGAGAGCCCAGAAAGAAACTGTTAATTTTCAACTAAGATAATACATAGGGGAAAGGATAGTTCTCTTCAATAGAGTATACTGAAAGAACTGATTGATAATAAAATCAGTTTATTAAAATATCTCCATGATTGCTCAAGATAGCCACTGTCCCAAGCCCATGTCCTCTTTATTGCTTCACACACTCAGGATCCTCCCACATTTGCCCTTTATCCAGCAACTGAAGGGTTACAGCCCAGCAAAGCAAAGGATCTCCAGGACCCTGCTTTAGCCTTTTTTTTTTTTTTTCTGATTAGTCATTGCAACATTAATTGTAAAATATTTTCAAAATAAATTCCAGACACAGGTGTTTTTTCTTCCTTGGGTGCAGACAACTAGAAAAGAACCAAATGCAAAATATATGATGTCAACTCTGACAATACAGACTACATCTCATTCATTTCCTTCTAAAACCACCTCATTTCATGTTTAGAAATTGTGTGTTCCTAAAAGAAAAACAAACTTGTTTATCAGCTCCCATTTTTGTAAAATACTGTTACTACTAAGACATACTTTTTTTTTTTTGAGAGAGAGAGAGAGAGAGAGAAAGAGAGAGAGAATTTTAATATTTTATTTTTTAGTTTTCGGTGGACACAACATCTTTGTTTGTATGTGGTGCTAAGGGGCCACACGCATGCCAGGCGAGCACGCTACCACTTGAGCCACATCCCCAGCCCCTAAGACATACTTCTATTTAAAGAAATTGTATTAAGCTGGGCTCAGCAACCCACACCTGTAATCCCACCGGCTCAGGAGGCTGAGACAGGAGGATCACAAGTTCAAAGCCAGCCTCAGTCAGCATCTTAGAGAGGTCCTAAGCAACTCAATGAGACCCTGTCTCTAAATACAAAATAGGGCTGGGGATGTGGCTGAGTGATTGAGTGCCCCTGAGTTCAATCCTTAGTACCAAATAAATAAATAAATAGAATTAGTTAAAAGTGGGGGGCTGGAGATATAGCTTAGTGATAAAGCACTTGCCTACCATATGCAAGGCCCTGGTTTTGATCCCCAATACTGCAATTTAAAAAAAAAAAGGCATTCTTTAAGCATTTCTATCAAGATCTAATTTTGGGGATATTGTTCCTAATTTGAACAGTTTTAGTTATTAGGAACTTCTTCCTTAGAATAAACTAAAATCTGTCACTCTTTTATTTCTATCCACCATTAAATTCAATCAAATTTTATATATAATACTTATAGCAGGCACCAATTTAATCCTCTCAGCATCCAATGAGGTTGGTATCATTATCATCATCCTTATAAACCTTATTTTACTATGGAGGAAAAGGATATAGGAAGGTTATATGAATTGTCTAAGTTCATATAACTGCTTAAGTGGCAAAACCAGGATTTGACCCACCCACACATTGCTGAATTATACATTAAACTACCCTATTATGTCCTCTAAAAAGTAACAGATTCTTAACAATTTGAATATAGCTAGTGTGGCTTTTTTAGGGTTAAAGTCCTGGTTCTCACCACTGCCCAACCTGAGTTGCCCTGAATCTCTTTACCATTTTGCTTCTTAGAAACACATTTTGACAGTATCCTTCTTTAATTTTTTAAATTTATTTTTTGGTAGTGGGGATTGAATCCAGGGGCACTTAACCACAGAAATTAGACACGTATCGCCATGGCTATGCCCTGCTTGTTCTTTAATTAAAAGGTAATGGCAATGGCTGGAGATGTAGCTTAGTGGTAGAATGCTTGCCTGGTATGAGCAAGACCCTGGTTCAATCCTCAGTATCACAAAAACAAGTAGCCAGGTGCAGTGGGACACAACTGTAATCCTGGTAATTTGGGAGATGGAGATAGGAGGATTACAAGTATAAGGCCAGCTTGAACAACATAGTGAGATACTGTCTCAAAGTAAAATAAAAAGTGCTGGTTATGTAACTCAGTAGTAGAGCACTCCCCTACCCCCAGTTCAATCCCCAGTACCACCAAAAAAAAAAAAGTGGTGAATTTGAAATTTGTGATATCTTAAAATACACAGGTATGTCTTACTTGCTATCTTTTTTAAGGCTAATTAGAATAATATGCATTTGTCCTCTTCAAAGTCTATGCAGCCCACACCTGTAATTCCAGCAGACAGGAGGATCACAAGTTCAAAGCCAGCTTCAGCAACCGTGAGGCACTAAGCAACTCAGTGAGACCCTGTCTCTAAGTAAAATATAAAATAGAACTGGGATGTGGTTCAGTGGTTGAGTGCCCCTGAGCCCAATCCCCAGTACTCAAAAAATAAGAAAAAAAAAAAAACATAAAAAAGACTAGAGATGTGGCTCAGTGATTAAACATCCCTGGGTTCCATCTTTGTTATTTACCAAAAAAAAAAAAAAGGAAGGTAGCTCAATGGCAGAGTGCTTGCCCAGCAGAAATAGGTCCTGGTATGACAAAAACAAAGTGAGGGATTGTGATTCCTCTAAATTTGTTCCTTTAAAAAATTTTTTTTTAATTGGGTATTGAATTCAGGGGCACTTGACCACTGAGCCACATCCCCAGCCCTATTTTTATATTTTATTTAGAATCAGGGTCTCACTGAGTTGCTTAGCACCTCGCTTTTGCTGAGGCTGGCTTTGAACTCATGATCCTCGTGCCTCAGCCTCCTGAGCCGCTGGGATTAGACATGTGCTACCATGCCCGGCTGCTCCTTTTTCAAGACTATTTAATCTTCTAGATTCTTGGTGTATAGTTATTCAAGTATCATTTTAATATACATCAACTACAATCCAACCCAATTTCTTCCATTAAAACCACATGAATTCAATGAGACCCAGCCATGTTTTACTGATGTCAGCAATGCAGTGCCTATATCACTGATCTTTTTTTTTTTTTTTTTAAAGAGGAGAGAAAGAGACAGAGAAATTTTAATATTTATTCATTTTTTTAGTTTTTCGGTGGAAACAACATCTTTGGTTGTATGTGGTGCTGAGGATCGAACCTGGGCCGCACGCATTCCAGGCGAGCGCGCTACCGCTTGAGCCACACCCCCAGCCCTATATCACTGATCTTACACACAAGTTTAAAAACTCTTTGAAATATATGAAAGGGAAAGTAATTTGGCATACTTATTTATTTGTCAAAACATTCACATCTCACTGGGCATGGTGGTGCACACCAGTAATCCCAGTGACTGAAGAGGCTGAGGCAGGGGGATCATAAATTCAACACCAGCCTTAGCAATTTAGCGAGGCCCTGTCTCAAAATAAAAATATTAAAAGGGCTGGGGATGTGACTGAGTGGTAAAGCATCCCTGGATTCAATCCCTAGTACCAAAAACCAAAAAAAAAAAAAAAACCCCCAAAATACACATTAGAATCTTGCCGTGTATGATGGTGACTCAAGAGGCTAAAGCAGGAGGATCTCAAGTTGAGGCCAGTCTTGGCAAGACCTTGTCTCAAAGATTAAAAAAAGAAAAAAAAATGTGTGTGTGGTGGGATGCTTAGGCTGAAACTCAGAAGGTAGAATGCTTCTGAGTAGCTCAAACAAACAAAATCCCAAAACAAAAAATGTCAGCATCTCAGTTATCAATTTCTTCTCTATATCTTCACAAACCATGAAATGATTCTAAAATTCTCTTGAGGGATAATGTAAATTAGAGTAAACTTTCTGAAATCTACCCTTTTCCCCTTTTGTACACTTTGCTATGGCTTCTTTCTTTCCTATATTTCCCTCTGACTTTTCAATGATAACTACTTAAAATGCCCCTGATCACCCAGGCACAGATTATACGTCACTTCATGTTTGTGGTTGTACTTCCCCATCTTCCAGGAAGAGACAGCACAAAGTACACTTAAAAGTTAGCACATTCATTTTGCTAAAATTCAAAGTTTTCTTTGAGACAAAGACAATTATGGGAAAATGTTCATAAAATTCAACATCATGTCAGTGCCTTTTCTCTTCCATTCATAAAGCTGTTCCTAGATTATTAAGCCTCTGAGCCATGTTATCACACCAACAACTTCTGTTTCTAAGGTGATAAGGAAAAGGATATGACTTCTGTACAGAGGAAAAGAGAACTCACTAAGCTCAAGCAGGACACATAGTTTTGTGGTACAAAGATCCAGGTATATCCTAATTACATACAGTAACATTTAATTTTCTTTTTGTTATTATCTGGGATTTTCACTTAAGTAAATTTCTATTATGCTGAAGCTAAAAGCCTATAATTGCCAGCACATTTTAGACCTTGAGGACTTGAGATCATATAAACTCACATCCTATTACCTTTAGGGTTAATAGGCTGCTTACGATTATTTTATCTATACTAGAATGTGTACAGGACTATCTGGCTTTTCATAGTATCTCCTCATTTATAAGCTTCCCTTCTTGCATCTAGAGAGACCAGAAAAGAAACTGAATCTTCAGTGGAATAAATGGGAATGGCCAAGACTAACAAAACCAGGCCTATGGGCTGGAGTTGTAGCTCAGTGGTAGCGCTTGCTTAACATGTGTGAGGCATTGGGTTTGATTCTCAATACCACATATGAATAAATAAATAATAAAGATCCATCCACAACTAAAAAAAAATATTTTTAAAAAATGGGCCTAGAGGCAGACAATGTGAGCTCCTAGATGAATACTTCTACTTCTACTTCACATGTCAGGTAGCAGCAGAGTACACTTGTATTCATAGTTCAGACAAAGACCTGAGTAAGGAACATCCTGTGTAAAGAAGGAGCCTGCATTACAGAAAATTCTTGAAAAACACAGACAAAATCAATCGAGTTGTTTTGTTTTAACCACAGGTATTTATTGATGGATCAAAGAATACAACCATAATAGGACAATAAGGCACAACTGTGGATTAAAAGTTTGCTATACAGCCAAAGGAGTGGGGAAGCCATAATCTTAGGAACTTTAAAAATGCAAATCAAGGAGACTCTGAAGTACCTCTCTARCRATCAGTAACAGACAATTCTTTCCTTTTATACAATTCCTATATTACATCACTTGATCACAAAACTGATACTTCTTAAAGAATTTCTCATTCATTTATACTTGAGCCATCAAGCCTGGCCACTCCCCTGTTCCCCACCTTTATCCATCCCTTTGTAGTAATATTTGTTAGCAATTCCCTTCCTAAAGATTGGTTAACACATCTTGAATAGCCTTCTGAAGCAAGGAAACAAGCAAGCAAGCAAAGAGTCAGGGGGATTATAAATTCAACATGAGGCGGGGGAGATAAATGAGTAGACTCCCAGACATACATAGGATGGCAATGGCCAGATTCAATGAAGTCTAATTAAGCTGACTTTGGCAGAGAAGTTGCTTTGGCTCACTCAAARTCCTGTAATGCCACCTCACATTGTCTTACCAGGGTCAGACCCCTTGTTTTTAAGGGATCAGTGGTGGCCTATACAAGGAGCTATGGAGATAATGCAACCGGGCAGCTAATGACACAATACATTCAATGCTTTGGACCTGTATTGGGATTGAATATGGATTCCAGCATTAACATTTGCCAATTGTAAAGTTSATAAATAATTTTGTGCAAAACTTCAAAACACTGAGGACCATCTTTAACTATTTTGGACTTGGAAAAGTTAGGCACTTCCATAACAACAGTCAAGTGGAAACATGAAGTGAAAAACATTCCAGTGCACTAACAAGGAGGCATAAACCATGCTGCAGAATGTAAACGTAGCAGGTTTTATAAGACGCCCAGCCATCATGTTCAAAAAGTTATGAAAAGGTCCCTAAGAATGCTGTCAGAACAGCTATTCTGGTAGCAACAGTGTCCCAAAGCTAAGYAGACCTGTAGGCATATGAATATTTTCTGAATAGTGAACACTGCACTCATAGGAAAAGCCATGTAGGTACATAAGTCGAGRATCAGAGGGCAGAGGCAGAGCAATCCGAGTAGGCCACACAAAACAGGTGGCTCTACACTTTTCAGTTATCAATTTCTTCTCTAKATCTTCACAAACTATGAAATGTTTTCACCAAGGCCAGCTTCYAAGAAGGATATCTCCACCCTTTGATGACAGAGCAGTGCAGAGGATCAGGAAAGGGTCACATTCTTCCAAGAGAAGTGTTGATTACCAAAAAGCTCCTGGAAAGATAACATCCTAGGTACTCATTTAAGAGTGAAGGTAGATGAAAWCTGCCAGACCACTGAACTATCCTGCCAAGTCAGAAATAYATTTAACAGGCATAGTTTGGRGTGTTAAGAGGAACACAGGGAATTTTGAGGCTCAATAAAAAGCAGGGAGGCTGAAAGACTAAGTGGAGGTAAGTTGTATGACAGGAAAATAAGAAGCAAAGGAYATATAAGAAGGAAGTAGGAGCATGCTAAACCTCGCTAAAAGGAGTCTACATCCAGTTAGAGTTTTGCTGGCTGGTTATTGGCATGATTCCATCTCTTTCTCAAACTGGATGGATGTGTGGCCTGGAGCAGCAGAACAGGGGAACATGGTATTTATAAATGGAGAACTGGYAGATGGATACTGAAGAGAAATAGACTGGATGTACCATTCTGTAATGCCCTGTTTATACATCGAAGGCAGTTTTGTGTACACAGAACATATTTGGGGTTGTCATGCAACAGCAGTAGTATTCTGGGAGAAGGAGAATGAAGGGGTGGAGGTGGGGTTGGTGGACAGGAGGACTCTTAAGTTCCAGTTCTTAAATACTAGAAAGCAAGGAACAGTTTGGTCTCTGTCCTTTAGTGAAGAAATCGGATGCTCATTTTCTGTTCTACATCCACCTTCTCCAAAACCTGGGGTTAAAAAAACCAAAAGAACAATTATAGTTATAAATATCCTAACAGTTCTAAGCACTTTTCTAAATAATGTCCCCCCGACCTCCTGTGTAATAGAATTTAACATTTTCAAATCGAGAGGTGACTGACTGACCTTAACAAATTCTGTGAAAGATATAGCACTGTCCCCATCCTGGTCAGCCTCCTGGATTGTCCTGTCTGCAATGCTGCCCAGCTGCTCATCTGAGATATTCACTCCAACCATCATGCGTAGCACCTACAAGACCAAAAGCCAGGAATTATAGGGAATGTGGGAGTGAGAGGGATTCTTTTACTAAGATTTAAGGTAAAATCACTAAGTCCCTCCCCTCTTTTTTTTTCTTTTTTCCTTCAGAGGCAAGAACTAAACTCAGAGCTTTGCACATGCTAGGCAAGCACTCTGCCACTGAGCTAAATTCCCAAACCCTATCTTTTTCCTTTGATACCCTCAAATTTAACAGCTAGAAAGCTAAAACCCTAATTTGTTATCTAGTTGTTGTCCTAATTTTGGACAATAATGTGAGCAGAACTCTTTGGTAAGGTCACTAGATAGGAAAGCAAAGCCTTGTTGAAGGAGAGTCATTTGCATTTTGCTAATCTTCATTTTTCCCCACCCATAATATAGATATGATGTCTGGTGGTACAGTAGCCATCCTGGAGTTATGAGATGAATCACGTGCTATGGATATTACAGCAAGTCTATGGCAGAAGCCAGGTTTCTTAGACATTATTTAGGTACTATATGAGCCTAGAAAACCTATTCTCAGACTTTTTGTTGCATGAGGCAAACATGTCAGTTGGTTTGGTGGGGCTTTCTGGAATCCCACCTGAATGCTGTCCTCTTTAAGGAGATGTATTAAACATTAAGCAAGGTATTCCTGGGGTATGGCCCAAGAAATGTAAAGCTCCTTGAAGAGGTACATGCTAAATTCTTTCTTAGAAAAATAACAAGCACAATTAAAGGGCTATGAGAAGCAAAGAAAATTTAACACTGTTTCATCAAATGTATCTCAAACAACAAAAAACCCACCACCCACAATTCTTCTAACATCTTTAGGGTATGAATATACTTAAAAATTTGATACCCTAAACAAAATATGTAATTTTAACAATGTGATTCAGACAATATGCAAAGGTTGAGGCTTCATGTGAAATGGGAGACAAGGAGCTTTTGTGATGCTTCACATCATAGCAATCAGCCACCTCTGAGTTCAAAAGGGAAAAGCTGAGTTTTTCTTTCACAGGAAGGAAGCACCTCTAGTCCAATGGTTGAGAGGTCTTCCTTTCCCCTACTCTTTTACATCCTTCTCCAACCTCATGAAATAGATTTTTTAAAAGTATAGGACAGCGGGCTGGGGTTGGGGTTCAGAGGTAGAGTGCTTGCCTCACATGTGTGAGGCACTGGCTTCGATTCTCAGTACTGTATGTAAATAAATGATTAAAATAAAGGTCCATCAACAACTAAAAAAAATAGTTTTTAAAAAGTATAAGACAGATCTGGTACAGTGGCACATGCCTGTAATCCCAGCAGCCTGGGAAACTGAACAGGAGGTTTATGCACGAGTTCAAAGCTTGCCTCAGCAACTAACGAGACCTAAGCAACTTAGGGAGACTCTGTCTCTAAATAAAATATAAAAAAGTTCTAGGGATGTGGCTTAGTGCCCCTGGGTTCAATGTCCCGTACCAAAATGAAGTACATGACAGAATTTTCAAAAAATAAAAAAAGCCGAGATACTAATTAGAACCAGCACACTTTTTTTTTTTTCCTTCTTCTTCTCAAACTAATTGTTTTGTTTTGTAGACAGGGTTTCACTATGTTGCCTAGGCTGACCTCAACCTCCTAGGCTCAGTGATCCTCCTGCCTCAGCTGTCATCAATTCATGGACTCCACTGCATGGCTACAAATCAATTCTTTAAAATTATGAAGCTGTACTATTTAGGTACAAATGCACAACTGAAGGATTAAAAAAAGGACAGTGGCTCAGTGGTAGAGTGCTTGCCTCGCACATGTGACACACTGGGTTCGATCCTCAGCACCACATAAAAAATAAATAAACAAAATAAAGGTATTAAAAAAAAAAGGGGGGCTGGGGATGTGGCTCAAGCGGTAGTGCGCTCGCCTGGCATGCGTGTGGCCCGGGTTCTATCCTCAGCACCACATACAAAGATGTTGTGTCCACCGAAAACTAAAAAAAACTAAATATTAAAAAAAAAAAAAGGACAGTGCTAGAAAAGACTATTTGGGCCAAACCATTTTCCATCTTCTCCAATTTCAAGAGATCAAGCAAATTAATCCATCCTCAAACTTCAGATCTCAGACCAATTATTTTCTAAGGTATTTTACTTTTATAATAGTAGAACTGGATTGTGCATGTACTAGTGTGTTGCATGTATAGGCAGGATGTGACAGGAGTAGTGTGTTTTAAAGTCACCTTGTCTGGTTCAGTAATGAGGATAATAAGGCTCAGAAGTATCTTGACCTCCCCGTCTCAGTAACTAGTGGCATGAGCTGTCTGCTCATAGGCCAGTCAGTGTTCCTTTCACCTATCCTGGCTGCCACTTATTGTTCCAGTGGGAAGATTATTATCAAATGAGAACTTTACTATTATTATTATCAATGTTTGGGGAGGGTTATATATATACCCTATATCAATTTAAGAAAACTTCCCGGGCCAGGGATATAATGTGGTGGTAGAGCCTAGCATGCACATGGTACTGGATTTGATACTGGGGTTGAAGGATTGGGGGATGATGGAAAAAACAAAACAAAAAAATAAAACAGAAAGGAAACTTCCTTTTATTTCTGCTTTTATAAGACTTGAAAAAATCATGAATAGGTGGATGAATTTTATCAAATGCTTTCTTCAATGGAGAAGACCATTAGATTAGATTCTCTTCTTTAATCTGTTCATATGGTTATAACTATTTTCTAATTTTAAATCAACTCTGAATTCCTAGTGCAAACTTGCTTTGGATATAATAACATTGCTGGATTCTGTGTGATAATATTTTGTTTTGAATTTTTACATCTAAGTGAATAAAAAAGGTTGGGCTATAATTTTTTCTTGTACTGTCTTTTTTTTGAGAGAGAGGGAATTTTTAATATTTATTTTTTAGTTTTAGGTGGACACAACATCTTTATTTTATTTTTATGTGGTGCAGAGGATCGAACTCAGCGCCCCACGCATGCCAGGCGAACTAGCGTGCTACTGCTTGAGCCATATCCCCAGCCCTTGTACTGTCTTTATAAATTTTTCATGTCAAAGTTATGCTAGCCTCATAAAATGAGTCTTTATTGAAGTATAAATGATATAAATGGTACATATTTAAAATGTGCTGATGAGTCTTTGTATACATGTATATACCTCTGACACCATCACCAAAAATCAAGATAATTAATATATAACTGGCCCCCAAAAGTTCAACCAGGACATTCTACAAGAATCATACTAAGAACACATGCCCAGCCAGGGGCATGCTTGGAATTCTAGTGTCTCTGGAGGCTGAGGCAGGAGGATCTCAAGTTCAAAGCCAGCCTTAGCAACTTAGCGAGACCCTGTCTCAAAATAAAAATGAAAAGGGCTGAGGATGTAGCTCAGTGGTAAAGTGCCACTAGGTACAGAAGGAGAAGGAGAAGGAGAAGGAGAAAGAAGGAGAAGGAGAAGAAAGAAGAAAGAAGAAGAAAGGAGGAGGAGGAGGAGGAGGAGGAGGAGGAGGAGAAGGAGAAGAAAGAGGAGGAGGAGGAGGAGGAGGAGGAGAAGTCAGCCATTCTTGGGTAAATTCACTACATACTTTTTTAACATTCAATAAGTATCTAGGAACTGCAAGTTACCAGATGTTTTAGAAATAACTGTGTCTAGAAAGATAAACTTTGTTTTCTTCTTTCATTTCAGCAAAATGGTCAGATCCTCTTTTTGCTGGGATAAAACTAGTTGTCTAAACCTAAACAATCCAAGAGCATGACTAGAACTCTGGCCACATAGTTTCTTCCCTACTTCCTCTTCAGGCTTTCTTATCCAATAACAGTAAATAAATCAACTCTTCCTCCAAAAACATCTTTCTTGAAACCAGGTTTGGGCTTAAGGATGAAAATGTGCCATTACATTTCAGAACTCAGAAGTCAATGTGTAGCAATGTAACAAAAATAAACTCTTCTCACCAAAGAAATATATTCCCACCTCAAAAGCAAGGGACACTATCATGATCTCCTCGTTTTTTTGGTTTCTGCTCAGGTAGAAATGTAGGAATACTGTGGATGGGTCTTAAGCTGATCTAAGTAATCTTCAACTTGGAAGTCTTCCCAAGATAATGGATGAATTCAGATTTACTTTAAGGGCTGAGTAGAAACAATTTACTTTTTAGGTGTATATTGAAACGGACAAATTTCCCCATGGAAATCCCTAAATGTGTTAGCCTATGGTCTTTCAGACTCAAAACAAGGGGTAATTTTCTCCCCTTCTGAATTTATAAAAGGCAAAAACAATAAATTGCAATGCTAATAGCATGAAATGTTAGTCATCGATAGTAGAGGAATAGGGACTTGTCTGTGGGAACAACAAAGGGCAGTGAATGATTAGCTCAAGGTACATTGGCACAAGCAAGAGTTGGTAACTCTTATGCTAAGTTTAAGGACACACAAGTCAGCAGAATTTACTAGGTATCATCAGAATTATCTGACTGCCAACAAGCTGTTTTGGTAATAACCGAACTATTTTTTTTGGTACCAGGGATTGAGCCTAGGGGTGCCATGTCCCGAGCCCATTTTTCTACTTTATTTGGAGACAAGGTCTCGCTAAGTTGCTTAGGGCCTTGCTAAATTACTGAGGTTTGCTTTGAACTTGAGATCCTCCTGCCTCAGCCTCCTGAGCTGCTGGGATTACAGGCATGCGCTACTATGCCCTGCATAACTGGACTATTTGATGTACACAATGTCACATATTTCACCTCTGCCAGTCAGCACTTAGGAAACATTTAGTTAGTGCTTTTTAATATTTTTTTAGTTGTCAATGGACCTTTATTTTATTTATTTACATGTGTTCTGAGAATCAAACCCAGTGTCTCACACATGCTAGGAAAGTGGTCAACCACGGAGCCACAACCTCAACCCCTTAGTTAGTGCCTTTAAAAAAAAATTATATATGTGTGTATATATATGTGTGTGTGTATTTTTTTTTTAGTTGTTGATGGACCTTTATTTTATTCATTTAGCAAATTTACTATCCTCTTGTTCAGAGAGCAAGGCATTAGCAGCTTTTATGTCTTGGTGAATTTTCTTTTCTGATTGCAGGTAGTCCAGACCTTTCAAAATGTCATTTAGCATGGTATCGATCTATAACTCTTATGGAAGACCCAGTTCTGAACCACCACCCAGGTATTTCATTATTACCCACAATTTTGAACTCTTTAAATATGAGCCATAGTATTTTGTCACACGTGAGCTGTCACACTGAGTTGTCACATAGTTTTCCCACATACCTGTAACAGCTCATCACGGGAGATCTTGTCATCTTTATCCAAATCATACAGTCGAAAAGCAACTGGTTGGGAAAAACAAGAAGTTAGTGGAAATTCTGTAGTGTCTTGCTCCTTCTCAAGGAACTAACATGCAAAGCTGAGCAAGGTTGGTGCACATCTGTAATCCCAGCGACTCAGGAGGCCGAGGTAGAAGGATTCACAAGTTTGAGAGCAACTTAGTGAGGCCCTAAGCAACTTAGCAAGACTCTGACTCAAAATAAAAAGGGCTGGGAATGTAGCTCGGTAGTTAACCAAACATGGGTTTGATCACTGGTACTAAAAACAAAACAAAAACTTAACCAAAACCAAAAAACAACCCTTAAGGGGTTCTGTAAGTTAGGCTACTTCACACAACCCATCAATTCCACTGTGCACCACTCAGAGGAAACCAACAATAAGAGCCACAAAGCTGACTATAAATGTTGCTCTGGGGCCCTGCACAAGAATCAACTCAAAATGGGTCAAAGACCTAGGAATTAGATCAGAAACTATGCAATTCCTGGAAGAAAACATAGGGTCAGTACTCCAATATTTAGGCACAGGCAACAACTTTCTCAGAAGGACTCCTAAAGCTCAGTAAATAATGTCAAGAGTTAGTAAATAAAATGACATCAAATTTAAAATCTTCTGCAAAAGAAAGGAAACAAGATTGTAAAAAGAGAACTTAAAGAGTGGGAGAAAATCTGCTAGTTACTGACAGAGGATTAATAACTAGAATATATAAGAACTCAAAAATCTTTACATCAAAAAATTAAATGACTCGGGCTGGGGATGTGGCTCAAGTGGTAGCGCGCCCTCCTGGCATGCGTGCGGCCCGGGTTCGATCCTCAGCACCACATACAAAGATATTGTGTCGGCCAAAAAATAAATAAATATTAAAAAAAAAAATCTTAAAAAAAAATTAAATGACTCAATTAATAAGTGGACAAATGAATTAAACAAATATTTTTCAAAAGAAGAAATACAAATGACCAAAAAAAATATGAAAAATTGTTCATCATTAGCAATTAGCAAAATGCAAATCAAAACTACACTGAGATTTCATCTTACTCTGATCAGAATGGCAGCCATCAAGAATACAATCAATCAACTGGGGACATAGCTCAGTTGGTAGAGTGCTTGCCTTGCATGTACAAGGTCCTGGGTTCAATCTCCAGCACCACACACACAGAAATTAAAAAAAAAAAAAAAAAAAAAAAAAAAAGGAATACAAACAACAGCAAATGCTGGAGAGAATATAGGGTAAAAGGAACACTTTTACACTGTTGGTGGGATTATAAATTAGTACAACCACTATAGAAATCAGTACAGAATTTCCTCACAAGACTAGGAATGGAATTACCATATAACTCAGCTATACCACTCCTGGATATTTATCTTAAAGAATTAAAGTCATCAGGACTGGTGTTCTGGCTCAGTGGTAGAGTGCTTGCCTAGCATGTGTGAGGCACTGGGTTCCAATTCTCAGCACCACATAAAAATAAAGGTCCACCAACAACTAATAAAATATTTTTTAAAAAAGAATTAAAGTCATCATAGCATAGAAATACAAACATACCCATGTTTATACCAGCACAGTTTAAAATAGCCAAACTATGGAACCAGCTTAGGTGTCCATAAATGGATGAATGGATAAATAAAATGTGCTATGTATATATGTATACACATACACACACAAACACACACACACACATACACACACAATGGAGTTTTATTCAGCCATAAAGAAAAATACAATTATGTCATTTGCAGGAAAATGGATGAAACTTGAGAACATTATGTCAAGCAAAATAAGCCAAATTCAAAGATTAAGGGGCTTGTTTCTTTTATAGAAGTCAGACAGGAAAAAGGATGAGAAAGGTGGTGAGAACTCATAAAAATCAAAGGAAAATCAGTAGAGAAGAGGAAAGGGACCAAGAGAGAGAAGAGTGGAGGGGAAGAGGAAATACTAGGGAATGATATTGGCCAAATTATATTGTGACACTGTTTGCATGTATAAATATGTAACAACAAATTCTACCATTATATGCAACTACAATGCACAAATAAAAATATGGAAAATAAAGTGTTGCTCTGGGAATATATTCTCTTTGATAAATTTGTGCCAAATTTCAAGTAATTCCCTACCATTTGGGAGTTCTACAGGTCAAGAAGTTTCAAATAAAAACACCAAGGCTCTGATGGTCTCCAGGTTGTTTCATGTTTCTCTCTCCTAAATAACAGATGAGTTTTCTAGAAAGTAGAATAGATGAGAACTTTACTTGTGTTCGTATAAGAGAGAGAATTTAGGAGAGAAAAAAACATTCTGTTTTTGAAGAGCTTTGGTGTAAAGTATAACAACACTGGGTGATTATGTAGGAACTGTGAGAATTTCACATTAAGGAGGTGATTTTCTTGTCACATAGATAAATTTACAATGATTTTAAATCATGTCAAATAAGCCATGAATATTTATGCTTTTCAATAGGGAAGTGCCAATACTAAAATGCCCAAATGCACTGTTCTAGAGATATTAAAATCTATGGATTTAGATCCTGACTTGAGAACTCATTATCTAGTAGAATATAGCAATACACACTGCTCACTCTAGTAAGTGCTATAATACATTCACAACACTGGGTGAACAAAGTGTAAGGTGGATGTGACTTTCTGGTGGAGTTGGTGAAAATACTAAGTGAAAGTAAGCCTTAAAGACAAATAGCAGGGTATGTTGGCACAGGGTTGTAATTACAACTACTCAGGAGGCTGAGGCAGGAGAATCACAAGTTTGAGGTGAACCTGGACAATTTAGCAAGATCCTATCTTAAAATAAGAAATAAAAAGGGCTGAGGATCACGAACATCAGAGCACTAATCTACCTAACACCAAAAAAACAAATAACCCAATCAATACATGGGCCAAGGAACTGAACAGACACATCTCAGAATATAAAATCAATCAACAAATATAGGAAAAAATCTTCAACATCTCTAGCAATTAGAGAAATGCAAGTTGAAACTACACTGTGATTTCATCTCACTCCAGACAGAATGGCAGCTATTAAGAATACAAACAACAGGGCTGGGGATGTGGCTCAAGCGGTAGCGCTCGCCTGGCATGCGTGCGGCCCGGGTTCGATCCTCAGCACCACATACCAACAAAGATGTTGTGTCCGCCGAGAACTAAAAAATAAACATTAAAAATTCTCTCTCTCTCTCTCTCAAAAAAAAAAAAAAAAAAAAGAATACAAATAACAATAAGTGTTGGCAAGGATGTAGGGAAAAAAATGCACATTCATACATTGCTGGTAGGACTGCAAATTGGTGCAAGCAATCTGGAAAGCAGTATGGAGATTCCTTGGAAAACCTGGAATGGAACCACCAATTCACACAGGAATGTCTTAAGGCAAAATACATAAGGGCTGGATTTGTAACTTAAAGGTAGAGTACTAGCCTACCATACACAAGGCCTTGGGTTCTACACCCTGCACTAAAAAAAAAAAAAAAAAAAAAAAAATCACTCACACGAAAAATACTGTACTTGGGGCTGGGATTGTGGCTTAGTGGTAAAGTGCTCACCTAGCACATATGAGACACTGGGTTCAGTCCTAGGCACCACATAATAATAAATAAAATAAAGGTATTGTGTCCATCTAAAAAAAAAAAAAACTGTCCTCACTGGGCACAGTGACACATTCCTATAATCTCAGATCTTGCGAGGCCAAAGAAGAGGATGAGAAGTTCCAGGCCAGCCTGGGCAACTCAACAAGCCTGAAAATTTAAAAAGAAAAAGAAAAAAATTTTTAGGTTGGGGTCCATACAGTTCAGTGTTACAACACTTGCCTGGCATACATGAGGCTCTCATTAAAAAAAAAAAAAAAAAAATCATCCTCAGGTTGGGGATGAGAGAGCACTTGGGGAAAAAAATACTCATTTTATAGATGCCATTAATCAATAAAAGGAAAAAGAAATCAACTGGGTCTCATCAAAATTAAAAACACTTGCTCAGCTTAAGTCCGTGTTAAGAAAGTGAAAACAAACTATAGACAGGGAAGAAAAAATATTTGCAAACCACATATCCATCAAGGACACATATTTAGCATAAAGAACTTTCCAACCTAACATTAAAAAAAAAAAAAAAAATTCAATTAGAGCATGGGCAAAGGACATGATTAGACATTTGACAAGCACATAAGATGTTGAACATAAAACCACATAAAACCACAATGAACTACCACTACATACCTATTAGAATGGCTGAAATTTTTTAAAAATCACAATTAGCAAACCATTAATCTACTATTTCTAAATTTTGGCATTTCAAAAATATTAAATACATACAATCAAACAAATATAACCTTTTAGGATTTTTTTTTTACTTAGTATAATTCTCTGGAGAGTCATCATTGTGTGTATCAATACTTATATGTATCAATAGTTCATTCCTTTTTAGGGCTGAGCAATATATAAAGCTGCTATAAATTTTCACATACAGATTTTTGCATGATCATGTTTTCATTATCTGGATTAAATGCCTAGAAATGGGGGCTGGGATGAGGTTATGGCTCAGTGGTAGAGCGCTTGCCTAGCACTTGTGAGGCACTGGGTTCAATCCTCCTCACCACATGAAAATAAATAAATAAAATAAAGATATTGTGTTCATCTACAACTAAAAAAAATTTTTTTAAATGCCTAGGAATGTACCTTCTGATAATGGTAGTTGCATATTTAGTGTTTTTTGCGGCAGAGTATTGGGAATTGAATTTAGGGGCACTTTACCACTGAGTCATATCTCCAGTCCTATTTTATATTTTATTTAAAGACAGGGTCTTACTGAGTTGCTTAGTACCTTGTTTTTGCTGAGGCTGGCTTTGAATTCCCAATGCTCCTGTCTCAGCCTCTTGAGCTGCTGGAATTATAGGCATGAACTACTGTACCTGATATATATATAGTTCTTTAAACTGCCAAACTTTCCCAAAGTGACTGTACCATGAATGTTCAAAACAGCTTTATTTGTACTAGCCCTAAACTGGAAACAATCAAAA